TTTAATAACGTCTAATAAATAAGTATACAACATGTGAATCACAAATTTTCCAGGAATTATATGTGTAGTATATTAAAGTATATTAATAAAGTATACTCTTATATATATTAGGTCTACCGGAAAGTTCTGTCCGTTTTTGGAATAAAACAAAATACAAATTTTTATTACCGTCAATAAACTTTATTAAATAATGTAATTTCCATTATTATTAATGATTTCTTGCCAGCGTGAGGGCAATTTGTATATCCCATTTTCGAAAAATGTTTTATCTTTTGATGCGAACCAGTGCTTGTTTGATATCTTGTTCCTTTTTGAATTTTTTGCCCCTCAAAAAGTTTTGTAAGGACAAAAACAAGTGATAGTCGGTGGGTGCTAAGTCCGGGGAATATGGTGGATGCGACAGAATTTCCCAGCCTAGTTCTGCACTTTTTTGACGAGTCCCCAAAGCAGCATGTGGCCTGGCATTATCATGATGCAGTATGATGTTCTTCCTATTGTACATCGCCGGCCTCTTTTCTTGGACTGCTGTATTTAAATTATCCAGTTGCTGACAATACTTCTCCGAATAATGGCAATTACATTATTTAATAAAGTTTATTGACGGTAATAAAAATTTGTATTTTGTTTTATTCCAAAAACGGACAGAATTTTCCGGTAGACCTGATATATAGTATATTAAAGTATATTAAAAATATATTTACTTTATACATGTATAAAATATGAAATTTCAGAGAAATAATATTAGAGTATTTTTAACTTTGACCGTTATTAAAGCAATATAAATCAGATGAATATCAAATGAAAGCTCTTTGGCAGAAATCATAATCAGCAAATAGAACTTACCTGCAAGTAGACCTTGATGCGGTCAAGGGGAGCGGTGCAGGTACGTGATACTGCACCAGCTATCCCGCCGGATAATAAATGCCGCCACCACATCCCCGATACCATTTCGCCTTTTGTGAACTCTTCGGGGACGCCGATGTCCTCTCCAATGTCCATATACTATTAACAAAAAAGAAATATTCCACAATTACTGAGAGCAACCGAGAGATAATTTTATCATACATCAGACTTATCAAAAAATTAATAAGTTAAAGATTATTCAAGTAATCTTTGATTAGATATTAAATAAAATACATATTATTACATACTATATAAAGCGGTATTTATACACACACACTCAAACATGTTTGTGCAAATTTATTCGGACGAAACTGTTTCACAATCTGTGATAATACAAATTTATTGGTTCGTAAAGCATTAATATAGATGTAAGATTAATAAGACATACACTATTATGGAATATTAGTAACAAATATTTAAAATTAATATTTTACAATACACAGAATAATTAATATAATAAATATATATATATGAATATTATGAAATCTCACACAAATAATATTTAATAATAATTTAAGAATATTAAAAATATTAAAACCACGTATTGTAAAAAATTAAAAAGTATTTGCCACACTTTTAATCATTTATTGTTCTTTATCTTTTGCACAAAATTATGCAATTTTAATTTTTCCAAGCTAAATTTTTTGTTTATTAATATTCTCAAATGAATAACTTTGGCCTTGAAAGTAAACGTGAATCGATCAAAATGATAAGATTATTGTCGCGATTAAATTTTCGGTTTTAAATCTCTCTTTCTTTAGGACATCCTGTATATGTGGATCGCTTATCGTCTGCGATAAAATATCAAGTATGGCAGTGTTGTGTTTCGATGAAAGTAATCTATGTATAATACAATAGAGTTATTGTATTACAACACTAATGCGCGTTTGTAATTCCAAGCCTCGTATTGAACCTGCGAACCAACGTTCATAAAAAGAATGTTCAATTTGAATCTAAATAAGATTTATTAGGCCAACACGAGCTTTCAAACACTAGTTTTTGCGCAATAAGTTACTTCAAGTACATTACCTCTAATAGAAAATTTCATTCTTCATAACTAATTTCAATCTTTACTCAGATCCTTCTGTCAAAAATTTATCACAAATTCAATTAATCACTGATCATAATCACAAAATTAATATTTTAATTTATAATTAATATTTTAATGAGTAAGAAAGGTTAAAACTTAAATAATTAATTATTTTATTTAATT